GCAGGAAAGTAGTACATGCAAAAGGGGCTGCAGTGGCTCAAGTGGTTAAGATGCTGAACTGCAGACCAGAAGGTTGGTAATTCAGCAGTTTGAGACCCGAGTGTCGCATGACGGAGTGAGCACCCATCTCTGGCCCCAGCTCCTGCCAACCTAGCAGTTTGAAAGCAAGAAATTGCAGGTAGATAAATAGGTACCACTTCGGTGGGAAGGTAACAGCATTCCATGTGCCTTGCCGTCTAGTCATGCTGGCTACATGACCACAGAAATGTCTTTGGACAGCGCTGGCTCTTCGGCTTTGAAACAGAGATGAGCATCGCATCCCTAGAGTTGGATTCAACTGGCTTTCGAGCAAGGGAAACGTTTACCTTTACCTAGTACATGCAAAAGTACTGGGATTCTTTTGAGTGGCCTTGTTTGAACTCTAATGGTGTCTGTATGTGTTCGCCTCCAAAGTTACAAATCTCTGCACAGTTGTCACTTGAGAATTCTGTATGGCTAGGAGTAAGCCCCACAGAAAAGACTAGAACTTACTTCTGGCATACGGTTATGTGGCAAGTATACAAAACTGGGGCGGGAGATTCAAATGAAGCAATTTTTTTTTCTACAAACGAGGGAGAAGCAGACTTACTAACAGAGTTCACATGAGGTTCTCCCACATAATGCTTTTGCACACCAACTGTTGTTATCAACATTCTAAATCAAATTTAATGTTCTTGTCAGGACTAGTTGGTGAATGTTTGTAAGTTTCCATCGATACATCAAATTCTCAACAGGATGTGGATCAAAAACTCCACATAATTGGGGTACATGCAAATAGGTGGGATTTTCCTGCAAATTTAGGAGAAGACTGGGGGGGGGGAGTGTTCCAAACATTAAAATGAAATGAGGGGGTTGAGGGGAGAACAAACCATGGGAGCATTATCTGCACAAGTGCAGACAACACACAGGAAACAGTCCTTGGAACTATGGCGGGCGACAACCAATGATAGAGAGGAAGAATCTAGATAGGCAGGAAGAGAGCAAGTGGGAACCGGTAGCTGGACAGGGAAGAAAGTAGGTGGAGTGTTGGCAGTGTAGCTGCTGCTGGTGCCAGATACAGAAGAAGAGGAGAAGAGATTGGATTTATACCCTCCCCTTCACTACCCAAAGGAGTCTCAGAGCAGCTTACAATCTCCTTCCCCTCCCCACCACAGACACCCTATGAGGTAGGTGGGGCTGAGAGAGCTCTTTTGGGAATGGCTTCTGAGAGAACTTGTGACAGACCCAAGGTCGCGCCACGCCAGCAGCTGCATGTGGAGGCGTGGGGGATCAAACCTGGATCCCCCAGATCAGAGTCTGCGCTCTTAACCACTACACCACACTGGCTCTCAAAGAGCCACACAGAAAAGGCTGAAGAGGCAACAAGGCAGTGGCTGAAATGAGGAGGCTGGAGACACACACATTCCATTCGTGATCTCCAGCCCCACCAGGGAGGGAAGGCAGAGAAGTGGAGATATCTTGGAGGATGGGGAAGAGAGGGAGATATCCCTGTGGTTGCTGCATTCTCCCTTCTTTCTCTCTGCACCTGTCCACGTGCAGGGCAGAAGGTGAGTAAACAGCAGTGGCTGAGAGAAGAAGGTATCACCTGTGGCGTTTCCTCCTTCCTTCTTTCCCCACCTGCTGTCCCCACCTGAGTTCTTCATACCTCCACAGAGAGACAGAAGGATATAAAAAGGATAGAATATATGCTGGCTAAGCCTGCTGGAATGATAGAAAAGGGCTCAGTGGAAGGTGATATATCCAAATATGTCCACCCTTAATCTATACTAAGAAGCTAAAATTGAATGCTTCCATATGTTATCATTATAAACCTTAGCATGATGTGCAAATAACATTCATTATTTTCAGGCTAGGGGGAAAAACCACAGGAAGGGAAGAATAATGATTTATTTGTATGGCAGGCTTGGTGTATGTTGGTTTATATTGCTAGAAATTACTCTCTTCTTCATTATGAAGGATGGACGTGACCCAGGCCGAATTAAGCACGTTTCAAGAGAGCATTAAGCCTGCAGTGAAGTCTCTGGCTGATATCAATGGACCTTCTTTATGGATGGATTACATCCTGTGTGCTTGCATAAACCAGACGGAGCGTTCAGAGGTTAATTTGAGCCAAACCTCATTAAGGTTCAGCATTGCCAGGGCTGAAAACCTGGAACACGTTGAACAGCAATATGAGCCTTTGAACATTTAGAGAATCATTTTCCTTGGATTTCATAATGAGCCTTCCAAGGTGTATGAAAGAGCTTGCAAGCAGCAGGTGGCATTTTCCACCTGAAAGCTAGCGGCTAAGAGGCTGTGTTGTAATTTGGGAGTCCACAGTTTGAATCTTGCTTCTGGCAAGAGCCAACTGAGAGGTTTGAGAGAATCCATCCCATACTTATTCCACTCGCACATCCATTTGCAGTATGGATTCTCAGGACCCAACTGAGAAGTCTAAGAGAATCCACCACATACTGACCCCACTCATAAGAGGATAATCATATGGCTCTGCTTTAGTGCATCAAACACTTTGGAGAATTTAAAGCAGTGATTATTGTATTTTAAGGAGCTGTGGTGGCTCAAGTGGTTAAGACGCTGAACTTCAGGCTGTGGAAGGTCGGTAGTTCAGCAGTTCAAGACCCAGGGCTATTTTTGGGCAGGAACACACAGGAACGGAGTTCCGGCTGGCTCCCGAGTTGGCCACGCCCAGCAGGAACTCATTAGCATAATAGGCCACACCCAACAGCAGAAACTCAATAGGATTGGCTACATTAGGGGTGTGTGGCCTAACATGCAAAGGAGTTCCTGCTACAAAAAAGCCCTGGGTTTTGACAACAAACAAGGTAAACAGAATAACAAGCAAAAGGTGGGTGTGGCTGGATAACCACATTTCTGGTAACATGGGGGTGTGGCCTAATGTGCTAATGAGCTGTGCTGTCAGGGGTGTGGACTAATATGCTAATGAGTTCCTGCTGTTGGGTGTGGCCTATTATGCTAATGAGTTCCTGCTGGGCATTTTCTACAAAAAGAGCCCTGTCGAGACCCGACTGTGCCGCATGACGGAGTTAGCTCCTGTCTCAAACGGAGATGAACACCGCAACCCTAGAGTCGGATTCGACTGGCTTTCGAGCAAGGGAACCTTGACCTTTACCTTTTTATTGTATTTTACTGTATAGAACTGGTCATCTTCAAAGAGGCAATTGTTAACAATTGCATATATAAGAGGAAAAGAAGAAGAAGAGATTGGATTTATACCCTGCCCTTCACTTGGAGTCTCAGAGAAGCTTACAGTCTCCTTCTCTTCCTCTCCCCACAACAGACACCCTGTGAGGTAGGTGGGGCTGAGAGAGGTCTGAGAGAACTGCTCATGAGAGAGCAGCTCTGAGAGAACTGTGACTGACCGAAGGTCACCAAGCTGGCCGCATGTGAAGGAGTGAGGAATCAAACCCAGTTCTCCAGATTAGAGTCCACCGCTTTTAACCACTACACCAAACTGGTTCTAAAACAGGATTAAGAGGAAATACTTGCAATGGTATGACACACAGCAGTCTATTTTAGGCAGTGGATTCCAGAGCAGCTGCCATTTGTAACTCTCCAGTCTCCATCAATTAAAAAAAATGCACAATGAGATAGAAAGAGAAGAAGAAGAGTAGGTTTTTCTACCCCACTTTTCTCTACCTTAAGGAGTCTCAAAGCAGCTTCACATTCACATTCCCTCCCTCTTCCCACAACAGCACAATCACATTATCTTCCTCTTCCCACAACAGTCACCTTGTGAGGCAGGCAGAGCTGAGAGCGTTTTAAGAGAACTGTGACCGGCCCAAGGTCACCCAGCAGGCTTCATATGGAGGAGTCGGGAATAAAACTCAGTTCTCCAGATTAGAGGCCTCTACTCTTAACCACCACACCACACTGGCTCTCTCTTGTGGGTGTCTGGAAACTCTCCCCACTGTGTGCACATGGCGGCACCCATTTCTGTAATCCCATTCCTCCATAACCCTCACTGTCTCTGAGGTAAAAGAAATTCACATTCCCCTCTGTGTGCATGCAGATTAGTTAATTATGTACAGCCTGCCCCACACAAGCCTTGTGCCCAAGTTACAGTGAATGTGTGTACATCCATTTGTAAGAAAGATTCAATGAGCGTTCACTTGCAAATGAAAGCAGAACCCAGCACCTGGATAAACGTGCAATTTCAATCACACATTCAGCTGTCCATGTATTGAAAGTAACATGAGAATTACTCAACACACGTATCAAGAGACATCAAGTGTACATCGTATATAGATGGTGTGTGCATTCACTGTGATTTGTGAACAGGGTTACAGTGAATGGAGGGGGTGTGGTGGAATGTTTTGTCCTTATCCCATCTAGAAATCACTGGGATCCCGATTGTGTGAACTGACCACGACGCTTGCCTCAGCGGCAGTAGCTCCTCCCACCTCAGTGATGCGCTGTCCCATATATGGGCAACTCGGATGGCTGTCAACTGCTGCTCTCATAGCCCTTGAGTCTGAGAGCAAAAGAAGCGTGTGTGGACAGGATCCAACCAAAACCACACCAAAAAAGTAAATTCAAAAGGTCTCAGAGATAACAGACATCTTGGGGATATTCCCACCCCCTCTTTTTTGTGCTTCTGTTTTTGTTTTGTTTGGGGGGTTTTTTTGCACTCTTTGGATCTAGCTGACAGTCTGTGAGTCACTATATTTTGGGGACTCACTGGTTTCAAGAGTGAGCTCTTCTCCAGAGCAAAAGTGTGAATTATATTTATTTAATTTTTCAGCCACAATAATGTTGAAGGCTGGGACTTCTCGTTTGAGGCCTTAACCACTGGAGGTGCTGTTAGGAATATCTAAATTCTGAGCGCGAATAGACCCAACGCTCCTTTAGCAAACCTTTTATAAAAATGTGCTTTGTGGGTAGAGATGGAAGAGGAGACAGGAACTGACTGTAGACTGAGGAACAAAGGAGATTTCACTTACCTGGAACACTTTCGACAAATTGTCAAAGATAACTTGACCCGCACTGACTTTGTGCTTGACCCCTCGGACTGTACCGTTTTTGCTGAGGATGTTGACCCTTTTCGCGCCGAATCCCCTCTCTTTGGCGGCTCTCATGAAAATGAACATATCATCCGACTCTTTCTCATTCTCGTCGTACTCGGATCCCAGGTTTCCATTGTGCTGCCCATCCGATTCACTGAGCCGGCTCTGGTCCGTCTCGGAGCTGCTCGTGCATTCGGAATCCAGGGAGTCGGAGGTTTCTCCATCCGCATACACCTCCTTGAGCACCCTCCCGCTATGCGAAGAGGCGATGCGAAATCGGACTTTCCTCGGCTGCCTCTCGCCCTTGGTGTCACTCTTAATCATTGTCCCATCCGTCAATTTGGACCGCTTACATCCTCCTGGTGTTGGCTGTCATCGCTTTCGCCCGTTCCTCGCGCTTAAAACAATATCAAAGCTGTTCGCCAGTGACGGAGGCGCTGCTCCTATGAAAGCGAACATCTAAAGGAAAGAGGATTCCCGAGAAGGTCCAGGGCCGATCGGCAATCAATAATGCATGCGTGTGTGTGCTATGGTTACCTTTAAACTAAAACCTGTAAAATGAGATCACCGATTAAATATTAACAACCCTTTGTGTGCTTTTCACAGGGGCAGAAGGGGGAAAGAGGGGAAAGAGAGTGGAAGTTTCTATTTTTTTTTTAATTAAAAGAAGCTACATCCAAGACATATCTGTTCATTTGTGTGTGTTGACAGAGGAGTAGAGAGGAATAAAGGAAGAATTCAGATCGAAGGTTGGAGTGGACATCCTGTGCTCTAGCTTCTGGAGAACTGGCTTAAGACCTCTGGTCAATGAAGCTAATAAATGAAAGGAAAGCTTCTGGAGGACTGGCTGCGGATCCCAAATGTGCCGCATGGGCCTATCGGAATGTTGATGTCCTCAAATGACATCTTCTGGAGCCACCTTAGGCCAGTCACATGTTACACCTGACTACCTAACTCCAGTGGTGCTCACAGGGCTGGACTTTGGGGTGGAAGTTCTCCGCTCAGCAGGTGGGTATCCCAAAGCAGGCTGTAATTTTATATTTGTGATGTACCTTACCATCTAAAGGGGGGAGGGGGCATAAGATCGATACATCCAGAGTCTAAAAGTACCTAACTGCGCCACCATCTGATTCTTCTTAAATCGCTCCTCAAGGGCACCTGTTTTGTAGGTGGCAAGCCATACAAGTTAAGGTATTTGTGCAGACCATCCGAAAACTGCTGTTATCTATTCAGACTATATGTTCCAGAACAATAATAAGGTTGTCTACATCACACCTGTGCAACGGCAACTGTTATTACAGGGTAGGTTGGCTCACTCTGAAGCTTATCGGTTTAGCGTCCACCTCCCCGTTCATAGAATGCTTAAAGCAGCTTAAATTAAAAGAAGACCAAACAACACATTACAATCCACTAGCCAATAACAATACGACAAACTCAAGATAGTTTTAAAACTCGAGGAAACGTTCTCATCAAAGGCCTTTCAGAAGAAGTTCTCAGTGAAAGCTAGAAGATCTTCAGTGATGGTCTCGGGGGAGGGAATGTGACAAATTAGGGATGATGGTTCCCAGGGCTATTTTTGGGCAGGAACGCACAGGAACGGAGTTCCGGCTGGCTCCCGAGATGGCCACGCCCAGCAGGAACTCATTAGCATAATAGGCGACACCCAACAGCAGACACGAATTAGGACTGGCTACATTAGGGGTGTGTGGCCTAACATGCAAAGAAGTTCCTGCTACAAAAAAAGCCCTGGGTTTTGACAATAAACAAAGGTCCCGTCCACACGAGGTGATTTGGGCCAGTTGCGGGACAGTTTGGGGGCGGATCAAACCAGCGCGATCACACCACAACATCTGGGAAGCGTGGTGCTTCCGTCCCCGAACTGGCCCTTCCCCGCTCAAATCCGCTTCAAGTTGAAACCACCTACCTTGGTGGTTCAACTTGAAGCCGCGCTTCTAGCCAGGCGTTTGATCGCCGGCGCCTCCTTGCGCCGGCACAACCCCGGCCCGGAGCCGAACTGCGCATGCTCCGACATGCGCAGTTCAGGCGGCTCCCGATTAGGGCCTTGTTTTCTCTCCGGCGTTTGATCGCGCCGGGGAGAAAAGGCGCCGCGGCCAGGGGATCCGTGGGATCCCGCCGCGGCGTCTCAACGTTGGTGCGGCTTTTAAAAGCCGCGCCTTAAGAGGCTTTTCCCCTGCCGTGTGGCAGGGGCCAAAGTGAACAGAATAAGAAGCAAAAGGTTGGTGTGGCTGGATGACCGCACTTCTGGTAACATGGGGGTGTGGCCTAATATGCTATTGAGCTGTGCTGTCATGGGTGTGGCCTAATATGCTAATGACTTTATGCTGTTGGGTGTGGCCTATTATGCTAATGAGTTCCTGCTGGGCTTTTTTTTTTTACAAAAGAAGCCCTGACGGTTCCCCATCTGAGCAGTAACAAGGCCTGATCCTGCTTAGGTTCCAAAATGAGATGTGCCCAATCTTATTTGATCTTAGAAATTAAGGGTGGCAACTGAGGCCCACGGCATTTCTGGGCCTCATCTGGACTCCTGTCCTAAGGAGGCTGATATAGGTGGTGGTGATCCTTCAGTTCTTTCAGACCCAAGCTCTTTAAGGGCATTGGTCTGCACAACTTAGTGCAGTGTTGAAGACTGCTTTTGCTCAGCTCTGTGAATATGGAACTGCAAGATCACTAGTATCCTGCCCACTTAACAGCTTCATTAAAAAACAAACAAACCTAAAGTCACTGCCCAAATTGCACCTTATGTGAAATTCAAAGCAGATTTTGAAGCCTCTCCTCAGGCAAAACAGGATTTAAAAAAATAAAATAAAATAAAAAGCTTCAGTAAGACTAGCAAAAGGTCTCTGGGGAGAGAAAGCTGCACATCTTCTCACAAAGTGATAAAACACTTTCAAAGTAATATTTTCCCCCCTGCTTTTCAGATTCTCGGTTCTTAAGACCTTACTTTCGTAATTAAAATAAAATTCAAATTGGGGTTTTCAGTGCCTCTAACTATATATTGTTACCACCGTCTTCTGTATGGTCCCAGTTTATGGCTTTTTAAAGGTTTAGAATGTCTGTATTAGTCGCTGTACATGGATTTGAATGATGCCAGTGGCATATTGTTAACTAAAATAAAATCAATGTTTTCTTGGTTATCCCGGTGATAAATTCTGATTGCATATAGATCTTTTAGCAAAGGTGACTTTGGCTTTGGATAGAGGACTGCGGTCATTAATCAAGAATTGCTGGACGTATTCTTATGAATAACTGCAGCTTGGAATACAAAACTGTGGAGTCCACAATTCATGTGAGAGACCTACCATGCTCCACACCACACACCACATTCTGCTCAGAAGGCGACACATATGCTCCAGCTAGGGTTGGCGTCTGATTCTTCTAGTGGTCCCTTTATTGTAATTTGAACTGCAAGCACATATCAGATGATATTATTTAACACCAAACCATCACAAGCTTCAGCTGCCCATATCCACTTATTAAACCTCTGTTACAGGGACAAGACTTCTTTCTTGTTCTGTCCCGTTGGGAACCTTAATTCCAGCAATGAAGGACTCAGGTGTAAGACTTAGATACTTCTCCATCCGGAAACATAGGAACTCTATCTCCCTTTGTTCCCAGTTCAGTCTTCAATGTTTTCCTTTAGGCATGCGGTGGAGGAGAATACAGGTCTTAACAGGACTCCCTCCTACTAGGGATGGGCACGAACCAGCCCACGAACGTAAGTCTATGACGAATTTTGGATGGCTTGTGGCTCATGAACCAAAGTTTGTGAACTGAAGAGCCATCACAAACTTCCAGGAATGTTAAGGTAATTCATAATGGTTTGTGAAGAGCAGAGGAAGCAGGGCCAATCTCCTGTCCTGTTTGTCAAGGAAAAGTGTGGGGAGTTATGTTTACTGGGCCTTGAACGAGATCACCATGAGGGTCTGTGTTAAGTTGCTCGCTTAACAAAGCAGTCGGAGAGTGATTCAGCAAGAACACAACTTTATTCTTCAACTCAAACACAACTCCAACACGGATCAACCTCTGATAGCCAGAACAGCCTTTACATTGCAGCTGTCCTGCTTTTAAACATTCCCGGCTAATGTAGCCACACCCACTGTACAAATACCAACCAATAAGGTTGTTCACATAAGGACCAATCACGGATGTTCCCGCTCAGGGAGCTTGCTAGAAGGTGATTGGTTAGGTGCTTCCTGGGCTAATAACACGATTGGATGGATTTGGATCCTAGCCCAGGACGAAGCTTTACATTACACTTCAATTAGATGTTTCACAACATATCATGCATTCAAGGCAGCTTTGAATACACTACAGTCTGGTACCCGTTGCCACTGATCGCTGAACTCCTAGAGTGACTGCACAGAGCTACCATATATACTCAGATGGACCTCTCGGGGTGGTGTATAACCTGGTGAGTATTCAGCAGGGCAATGAATAGAAGACAACATTCAGTACATGATATAGGCAGTATAGCACCTGGTCATGCCATCACCATGGTCTCTGCAACATACCAGCCATGTTCCAACGGTTCATGAGTGGTGCGTTCTGAGACCTCCTTGGATTAGTTTCTCATCATCTGTCTCGACAACATCCTGATCCTCTCCCATGACCCTGCCAGACATCCTGAACACGTCTGCGCTGTCTTACACTGCCTCAGGCAGCACAGGTTGTACCAGCTAGAAACTGACATTTGACATTTGAACTGACTTCCATGGAGTTCCTGGGCCACCATATTCTTCTGCATGGTATCTGAATGCACCTGAAGAAGGTGGAGGCAGCGCTATCTTGGCAGGCCCCATGGAACCAAAAAGATATTCAACGCTTCCTGGGTTTTGCCAACTACAATAGACAGTCTATCCTGGACCCTTATATCCCTTGCTGTGCCATTAGCCAGACTACTGAAACCCCCAAGAGCCATTCTAATGGACCCCAGAAGCCCAACAGGCATTCCAGGCCTTGAAAACCCAGTTTTCCACCAAGCCCTTGCTCTGGCACCCTGACCCTCAGTTGCTGTTCATTGTAGAGACTGATGCCTCCAGCTCTGCTCTTGGGGACATCGTATCACAACAGGAGTCCCAACAGAGCCACTTCAACCGTGTGCATACAACTTTTGGTAGTGCACGCCTGCAGAGTGAAATTATACTGTTTGGGAGAGGGAGCTGCTGGCCATTAACGTGGCATTCAAAGTTTGGAGAATCACCTAGAAGGGGGTCAGCATCCCATGCAGGTGCATATGGATCACCAGAACCTGGAACACCTATAGATGGTGCATTGGTTGAACCACAGACTGATCAGGTGATTGC